ATAGGTTCATATATCAACTTGTTTATTGTTTATTTGTAAAAGTTATCAAACTATTTTATTTATTTTTTTATAGACGTAATTATTGACTAGTTAAAACCGTAAATTGACCAGTCAAAGCCCCCTCGCCCCCCCCACACACACACACACATATATATATATATATATATACACACACACACACACACACATATAAGGGCCTAATCGAATAAGAACTAATTAGTTTTTGTTAACTGTGAGATCCAACTTGAGCCAATCATTTAAGATAATTAATATTTTTCTTAAAATAGCATAGAATGATAAATTAGTAATTTTGGTTGATTATTCAATTTACTTTAATTAATTTAATATTTCAATTTACTTTAATTAGATTAATTACTTTATTTTGGGTATCATATTGCTCATGGTGTGTATCACAATAGTATCTAGTTCTTCCTTGAATGACTCCTCCCCCCCCCCCCACAACACACATATATATATATATATATACATATATATACATACACACACATAGACGATGTATGTATCATAATGGTACAACAATTGGTACCACAATGTTATCATAATATTCTTGAAGTTTGATTTGTGTGTTTTGGATATTACATTGTATATATTTTGTGTATCTTGGTATATTTTGGGTATCACGTGGTGTTCGTCGAAATAAGGTTTACTAGAGGCCGGAAGTAAGAGAGAGGGACATATGAGGGATAAAAAAAATTTAAATACCTTAAATGCCCTTTAATTAAAAATTTAAGTCAAATTATCAAAAATATTAGTTTTCTAATTTATCTATTGATTTGTGGTTGAGATTGAATCTCACATTTATCACAAACTAACCAGTTCTCCCTTGAATAAACCCCTATACACACACACACACACACACACACACACACATATATATATATATATATAGGTGGAGGTTCAAACGAGAACCCCTGTGATTTACGAGAACGCGAGAACAATCTAATAATCTCAAACTTTTTTATTTAATAAATTAACTATATTAAATATAAATAAATTAATAAGGGCAGTAATGTAATTAATTAATTTTTATAATTTTTATTTTATTTTAATTAGTCATAATTATCCCTTTTTTTCTTGCACGTTCTTTTCCACTCTCTTCTCTCTCCTTGTGATAATTATGTGATTGTGTAGCCATAACCTGTCGAAACCATGATCAATCAAGTGTAACCATAACCTATCGAAACCATGAGTAATAGTTGTGATAAAGTGTGATTGTCTAACCCCTAACCGATTGAAACCATGATCAAATTGAGTGTGCAAGTGATGTTATAATAGTGATATCACATGATTATCACACCAAATCGTTTAGTGGATTTCGCCCATGATCGTTGTGATAAATGTGTGATCGTCTAATCCTAACCGATCGAAACCATGATCAAATCGAGTGCGTTGTTATGATAGTGATATCACATGATTATCACACCCATATCACACCAAATCGGTAGTCGATTTTCTAAGTTAACCCTAGCCGAGCGGAATCCTTGTGATAATTGTGTGATAATCACATGATTATCACACTCATATCACACCAAATCGTGTTGATATAGCGATAATGTGATAATTGTGTGATGATCACACCCATATCACATCTAAATCACACGAAATCATGTTGATATAAGCGATAATGTGATAATTGTGTGATAATCACATGATTATCACACCCAWATYACACCAAATCGTGTTGATATAAGCGATAATGTGATAATTGTGTGATAATCACATGATTATCACACCTATATCACATGATTAATCGTTTATTAGATAATGATAATCATGATCGTGTAATCATATTAAAAGATTTTATGATATCATTTCCATTATTACCCTTTTAATTTTAATATTTTCTGAATCTTTTTAAATTTCAATTTTAGTTTTAAAAATCTTTTAATTTTATTTTTTATCACAATATGTGGTTATTAGGTTGTTCTCGCATTCTCGTAAATCACAATGGTTCTTGTTTGAACCCTTCCCTATATATATATATATATATATATATATATATATACCCATATAGGTGGAGGTTCAAACGAGAACACCTCCATTTTACGAGAAGACGAGAACACTCTTATCACATGTGATAATACGCGTGAGGGGACCCTGTGATGTGCGGACGACGTGTTCTACGACTTAGGCCGCGCTAAAGGTTGTATGCATCTATGATTTAGCATCACATGTGATGGTCTTGATGGATTATAGCATCATATCAACAACACTCTTATCATATGTGATAATACTTGTGAAGGGGCTTAATGGTGTAAGGGAGACTTGGCTCGCAACCAAGATCGCATCGAAAATCGTCCGCTTTCTCTGATTTAGTATCACATGTGTATCATATGTGATGGAATAATAGTACCAAACATGTGATTGTATATAATAAAAGAGTGTTCTTGCGTTCTCGTAAAATTTAGATGTTCTCGTTTGAACCCTTCCCTACACACGCACACACACATATATATATATATAGGAGCGTTCAAATAAAAACTTGACCCATTTGTGTAAACCGTGTAAACCAATCTCATCCATTCATTTTTTTTGATCAATGGCTAAGATTACATTACTTTATTTTAGGAAATTAAAAATTAAAAAATAATTAATATTTATTTTATTTCATCAATAAGGGTAGAATCGTTAAACAAATTTAATTCATAGTATTTTTTATTCAAGGCAACCATATCAGGTAAATTATATTATTAATGAAATTGATTCACTTTGTGAA